TGGAAATTTAGTTTGTCTCTCAAATGAAAAATATGTAAATTAGATGAAGAGATTTGTTGGCCGACAAAGAAAAAGGAAAAAGAGATGGAGAGATTATTATTACCCATGACATAATGAAAAAATATTTTTAAAATTTAAAATTTATTTTTTAATCTGAATTATTGGTTGTTCTGAAGAAAAAGAAAATTCAGGAGTTTTTGTATGGTTTTCTATAAAATATTGTTGAAAAATACTTTTGTTGAAAAGCTTTAAAGTACACTTTCTTTTAGATCGAAATTATGTCTTATGTTGATTTTAGATTGTGAGAAAATATAAATTTACACTTTCACTTAATTAAAAAAATATTTTACTAACTTTATAAGAAATTTGATATAGTTTACTCACAATTTATCATTGCATTGTAACTATAAACTACTTGAGATTTTAAATAAATATACTAAAAGACTTAAGGTTATTAGTTGACTTCTTTCTCTCTTTAATTTTAATTTTTTTGGTTAACCAATTAGTCTATAGTGTACATACTATTCCCATCGTTGTGGCACGCACATTTGAGTAAGAAAAATTGGCATGAATAACCAACAAAAATTCTATATGTGAGCGACCATGTCCAAGGTTTGTGTAAATAAATATGTGAATATTTTATTCGCTATAAATGTAATCAATCTCAATCAAAAAGTTAGTACACATTTTTTCTTTTTCTGTACAAAAAGCTTTCCAACTTTATAAAGAAATGAAACAACCACCAAAAGATGAAAACCAACTTTTGAGCTTGTTCTTGTTAGTTGGACAAACGGTGATCACTTGGATGGCTCGGTCCAGAGTCCTGAAACTGTGAGGATTCCATTGTCTGCCCAAACAAACACCAGAAAACATGTAAACAATGCTTATATAATAGAGGGCTGATTCCAGTTTCTGCTATTATAAACAGAGGCATTGTGAATCTTGAATCAAACTGAGAAAGTACGACAAGGAAGAACCGTGACATCTCTACTTGTTATCTGGTCTGGTTTTTAACAGTATATCCCTTAAACAAGAGTATGGGTACATACCATGTCGTGCAGAGTTTCTTCAATGTCATAGCAGCCACGGATGGCGCTTCCTCTGAAACCTGTCTGTCCCTGAAACTAGACAATCCAAAAAAACGAAAAAAGTGATCCTTCTCTTTTACAACAATTTGACTCAGGAGGAGAAGAATGATAAGG